TTTTTCTGATTTTCAACGAGTATGCCAATGAGAAAAGGACTAGTTCTTTCATCAAGTAGTGTGACACACCACCACAGCTGTACGTACATTCACACACAAGAGAATGGAGCCAAGTTTGAGCCCGGGAGTCCAACATCAGCCTGAACAGAGCAAGATCCCATCTCAAAAGAGAGAAAAAAGAAAAAAAAAAAAGACACTTTCAAAGGAAAGAAAGCAGAAACAAGTCATGCATTTTAAGTTTTTCATTAGCTCAAAGATGTGAGAAGTAGTTTATTAAAGACCAACAATGCCACTGTGTTTGCTCTTGTATGGCTGTCCTGCCCTCACAATGTAGGGTGCACTTCTTTTCCTACTTTTCCTTGGCCCAAACTTGCTCTACAGAGCCTGTTTCTTTTCCTACCTTTAATAAAACTTTGCAAATATATACATATATACACACATACATACTAACAATTATTTTAAAAATCAACAATTTCCAGCTGGGTGTGGTGGTGCACACCTGTGATCCCAGCACAGAGGAGGCTGAGGCAGAAGGATCACCACGAATTCAAGGCCAACCTGGACTACATAGTGGGTTCAAGACCAGCCTGGACTACATAGTGAGACCCTGTTTCCAAAAAAAAAAATCAACAACTTCCTATATGGCTTTACAAGGCTTCAAGTATTAAACACATCAACAAGCAGAAGCGTCACATTTCTACATTTTAAACACTCTGCTAAGAACATTACCTGATGTTACGTAGTTGTTTTGAAGTGAAGGGTCTCCAGAAGAAACGTACTGGTGATGCACTGATAAATTTGTATTCCCAAGTACAGCCAGCTGGGACGGTTCGGGAGGACAATGGTTCGTCTGTGGTGCCATGGGCGGGGAGCTGTGCTGCCAGTTCACAGGTGGCAGTGGACTGGCACCAGGAGGAAAACCACCGGAAAGCCTTGGGGCAGCAGCTGGACTCTGAGACGCAGGTGGTGGCATTCGGGGGACAGGACCACTGTAGGGTGAAGGTGCCACTGAGAGAGAAGCCACAGGGGGCTTGTGAAGAGTCTGCCCGGATCCCTGAGAACCATGATAGCTGGACTGTCCAGAGGCCAGATTCAAAGTCTTTGCTGGTAGTAGATGAGGGTAGGATCCTGGAAGCTGGGAATTATATCCTTGGTTCACTGGAGCATGTGAAGACATCACTGCACTTTGGACAGGACCTTCCAATAAGAGAAGAAAAAAATCAGTCTTGCTAATGAACACAGACTTACTTTAAAAAATACAGCAGGCACTGGAGATATGGCTCAGTGCTAGAGAACTTGCCTAGCATGCACGAGGCTCTAAATTCAATCCCCATCCACAAAACCACCAAAATTTAAATAAAGGAAAACATATAGTAAATGTAAATAAAGTAAAACTCTTACACTAAGCAATACAAGGCCAAATAATCTAATTCAAAAGTAAATTTTTTTAAAAAAAATTTTTTTTTGGTTTTTTGAGACCGGGTTTCACTATGTAGTTGAGACTCAACTGCAACTCACTATGTAGCCCAGGCTGGTCTCGAACTCACAGCAATCCCTCCTGCCTCAACCTCCTGAGAAAAGTAAATAAATAAAAGTAAATAAAATAGCTAGGCATAGTGGTGCAAGCCTGTAATCCCAGCAGTTGGGAGGCTGAGGCAAGAGAATCACCACAAGTTTTAGGCCAGCCCAGGCTACATACATAGTGAGCTCCAGGCCAGCCTGAACTACATAGTGAGACCCTGTCTTAAAAAACAACAACAAAAAAGATATACAAAGCCAGCCATGTCGGCACATGCCTATAATCCCAGCATTTTAGGACACTGAGGCAGGATTGCAAATTCAACTTCATGAGAACTTTCTCAAAATTCAAAAATAAAATAAAAAGGGCTGGGATATAATTCAGTGCATAGTCCCTGGATTCAAAATCCCCAGAAGCACAAAAAAAAGGAAAAAGTACTGATGACATACCACAAGATGGATGAATCTTGAAAACATTACTGTATGTCAACTAATCAAAGCCAGACGCAAAAAGCTATACTGTCTAACTTATTTAAAAAAGAAAAATCCACAACAGGAAAATTAAGACACACAGGTAGATTCAGGGCTGCAGAGTTTGCAGCTAGGAAGAAGGAAGGGCAAGCGACTGCTGATGACTACTGGGAATGATAGAACATGTTCTGAAGTTGGTAATGACAATCACAAAAGCCTGAATATACTAAAAACCACTAAATTGGGGATGGGGTTACCGCCCACAGATACAGCACTTGCCTAGCATAGGTGGGGCCCTGAGTTCGATCCTCTCTGCAACACAAAAGAAAACAGAAAAAAACACTAGATTGCACAATTTGTCTTTATTTTTGGTTGGTAAAATAACATGTATAAACTACGTGAGATGTATATCTCAAAAAGCTACTACAAGGGCCAGGGATTTAGCTCAGCAGTGCTGAGGCCTGCCTCACAAGCCCAAGGTTACAACTTCAATCCCCAGCACCAAAAAAAAAAAAAGCTTCAGTAAACCAATCATGGTGACACAAGCCTGTAAAAGAGGCTGAGGCAGGAGGATCGCTATGAATTCAAGGCCAGCCTGGGCTGCAGAGTGAGTTCAAGGCCAGTCTGAATTACACAGTAAGCTTTCAAAAAAAGAAAAGCTATTGTAAGAAATCCCTAGAATCTCTTTGACAAAGTAATACATTATGTATTACACAGAGCCAGGTGTAGTGGCACACACCTGTAATCCCAGAACTCAGGAGGATGAAGCAGGAAGATTGCTGTGAGTTTGAGGTCAGACTGGGCTACATAGCGAGTTCAAGGCCAGCCTGAACTAGGAAGGGAGATCTTGCCTCAGAAAAACAAAAAAAAAAGGGCCGGGGATTTAGCTCAGTGGTTCCCCTGCCTGCCTTGCAAGTGCAAGGACCCGAGTTTGATTCCTGGTACCAAAAAAAAAAAAACAAAACCCACAATACAGGGAAAAAAGATGAATGAGAAATA